GTATCAGCAAACAAAGGGAAGTCATTATTCACTCCTGCTGACATTGTAACGTTAAAAAAAATTTGGCCATCAGATTGAGAGAAAAGGCTTTTAAGTCACTGGCATCAGTTTCTTCTGTACAAATGGGTGAACCCAGGCCAAGAGAGGGGAAACGACCTGCTGAAAGCCACAAAGTAAGGTACAGCCACGGCTAGAACCTAGGTCTCTAGATCCCTAGTTCACTGCCCTTTCACTGGTGATTGCTTTCCAAAAACTCAGTGTTCTCCAAGTCTGGAGCCCCATGCCCTTAAATGCAAGGTGATGGAGGCACAGTGCTCCTGTCCAGAGACCAGGTGGGGAGTACTCTTTGAAGGCAGGGAAAGTGAGATGGGCAAAACCAGTTTGCAGGACACCTCCCTACCATCCAATTATCTCACTTAATCTTCACAGCCCTATGAGGCAGAGACTATCATTATCATCCCAATTTTACTCCTGTAAAAGGGGGTCAGTAACACTGCAGGGATGTAAACGGAGGCCCAGGATCGTCCCATCGTTCTCTGCAGCTCTTGCTTCTGGAGCCTGGCCATTGCTAAGGTCCAGAACGTTTGCAGAGCACAAAGCAAATAGGTCTCCGGGACTCGGATGAGGTTCTGCCTCTCTATACCCTATGGTACCCAGCACAGTGTAGGCGCAGAGTAGGTCCTGGCTGATCAGTCGTCCTGCCTTTTGAAAATGCCATCTTTTCCACAGGATTGGCCATGCTGTACACCCCCGAGATACACCTTCTTATACCAAGTCTCCACTCTCACTCATGTGTTTCTATTCCTGGAGTTTGCGTCGCTCCACGTCCCCTGAATATTTTTTCTGTCTCTAGCCTTCAGGAACTTCGACTCCTTGGCTGCCTTATTCTTTGAGCACACTGGTCAAGAGCCAAAGATCTGTTGGCCTCAGCTCTCCCAGCTGTACAATGGAGTGCAGAGCCAGTGGCTGGCTTTGATGCCCTCCTTGTTCGAATCTGAGACATAAGAACCGCACAAAATTACCGATCCCCACCTCCTCTCCACCCCCGTCCCCGCCCTCGTTCGGAAAGCGCCTGCGCAGAAGCCGCCGGCCTGCCCTTCGCTAGTCGAATCTGTATCCGTCCTTTTCGCGCCCTCGAAGACTCGGCGCTCGACAGGCGTCTGTCTATCAGCGCGCCTTACGGTTGATTCGCCGCCGCAGGCGCGCCTGCCGAGTGCCGAGCTACCGATGGAGATGGCGTCTGCAGCTGTGTGAGGAGCCGTGGAGGCCCAGAACCCGGGCCCAAAGGACTGGACAGGCCTGCGTGCCTGCAGGAGGCCGGCCGGGTACAGAGGGTCAGGCCCAGTCTGAGGGATGGGGACACGGCTTCTCTACAGAACGGAGACGGGGGGTCCTTTGTGGGTGTGGGCCGTGTGTGGTTGTGGTGGGTGTGACGTGAGTGGTGGGAGATGCCGGTTTCAGGCCGTGCGTTTCGCTTGTGTGTGACTGAGGTGATTGGGCTCTGTGTGGTTGTGCGGTTACGTGGGGCGTATACACTTGGGTTTGGTTCTGCAGCTGTGGGGGAAGTGAGTGGGTGTTTGTCTTCCGAGTGGCTGTGTTTGGTTCTCTGGTTGTGTAAAGCTGAAGCGTTTGTATTCTGAATTCGTATGGAGATGTTTGGAGCGTTTTGTGTGATGTCTGTGCGATGTGTGACGTTGTCATCTCTGCTCCACGGGGTTGAGTCGTTCGTCTTGTGTATGGTCATGCGACGTATGTATATTCGTGCTAGTGGCTGGGCGCAGTGGCTCACGCCTGTAATCCCAGCACTTTGGGAGGCTGAGGTGGGCCCATCATCTGAGGTCGGGAGTTCGAGACCAGCCTGGCCAACATGGAGAAACCCCATCTCTACTAAAAATGCAAAATTAGCCGGGCGTGGTGGTGAGCACCTGTAATCCCAGCTACTCGGGAGGCTGAGGCAGGAGAATCACTTGAACCCGAGAGGCGGAGGTTGTGGTGCGGTGAGTCGAGATCTCGACATTGCACTCCAGCCTGAGCAGCAAGAGCGAAACAACATCTCAAAAAAAAAAAAAAAAAAAAATCGTGTTAGTTGTGTGGGTTGTGATCATGTGCAGTCGTGAACACGGGTTGAGTGCGGCTGTGGGATGTGTCCTCGTTGTGGGCGAAATTCATGGTGGATGTAGTTGCAGAACATGTAAGTATTGCGTGTGTGTTTTTTTACTTTTTACATGATTTAGAGTCGAGGGGCTTGCATATGTGTTCAGTTATGGTTGTGGAGTCCGATTCAGCGGTTTATATTAATTTTTTTTTTTTCTGAGACGGAGTTTCGCTCTTGTTACCCAGGCTGGAGTGCAATGGCGCGATCTCGGCTCACCGCAACCTCCGCCTCCTGGGTTCAGGCAATTCTCCTGCCTCAGCCTCCTGAGTAGCTGGGATTACAGGCACGCGTAACCGTGCCCAGCTAATTTTTTGTATTTTTAGTAGAGACGGGGTTTCACCATGTTGACCAGGATGGTCTCGATCTTTTGACCTCATGATCCACCCGCCTCGGCCTCTCATGGTGCTGGGATTACAGGCGTGAGCCACCGCGACCGGCCTATATTAGATTTCTTTATGGCGTATGCTTAGATGAGTTTAGAGTTCATTCATTTGTTCATTTCATTCATGGAGCTTTATTGCGTTTCTTCATTATGTGTGCCAGGTACTGCGCTAAACTCTGGGGAGACAGCAAAGGGGAAAACATATAGAGTCTGTGCCCGCCCTCACAGATTTTACAGTCTTACTTAGTTACTTCACATATGTACCTACAGTTATAAATTGAGATGAGTGCTGTGAAGGAGAAGTCCATTCTGATGCCTTGAATAAGAGGCATTTCTTTGAGGAAGTGAAGTTTGGTTTTGGGCTGAGGCGTGAAGGGTGATTGTGTAGCATGGTTGTGGTGGGCTTTGTGTTTGATTTGTGGTTGTTAGAGGTGAGTGTATGGGTAGGAAGCGAGCTGTCAGAGTCAGCATCAGATGAACCACTGGCTGGGGAGGGAACAGGCCAGACCTAGAGCTGCTATATTTCTTTGGAAAAAAGGCAGGGATCTGCATGTATGTAGTCACTGGGTTTCTTAACTAGAGGGAAAAAATAGGGACCTGGTGTTTCATTTGTTTATTTTCTGAGTTGCTGCCACCCTTCAGCTTTGAGGACCAGGCAGTCCCTCCTCGGTGGTCTTCTACAGTCCATCCAAAGCTAAGGGTAACACATCCCCTCTCACTATATACTGTGGCTTGTAGCCCCAGGTTCTTGGGGAGAAATTTCTCCACTTTTGTGAAATGGTTTTGTCTAGATTTCTCCTGTGACTGGGAGTCTTTATGAGGTGACACTGGAAGTGACTTTACCATGGGTCAGTAAGAAAGAGAATGCAGCTTATTAAGCCCTGAAATGTTTAGGCACCAAAGCCTTTTATTTATTTATTATTTATTTATTTAGAGACGGAATTTCGTTCTTGTTGCCCAGGCTAGAGTGTAATGGCGTGATCTCAGCCCACAGCAACTCTGCCTCCTGGGTTCAAGTGATTCTCCTGCCTCAGCCTCCCAGCAAGCTGGGATTACAGACACCTGCCACCATACCTGGCTAATTTTTGTATTTTTAGTAGAGATGGGTTTTCGTCATATTGGCCAGGCTGATCTTGAGCTCCTGACCTCAGTTGATCTGCCTGCCTCGGCCTCCCAAAGTGCTGGGATTACAGGTGTGAGCCCCTGTGCCTGGCCAGCCTTTTATTTTTGAAGTAGTGGAGAAACATTAGGTTTGCTACTCAGTTGTCACTTACTGGCTTTTAAGATCTATTGGTGCAGTGGCTCACATCTGTAATCTCAGCAGTTTGGGAGGCTCAGGCAGGAGGATCGCTTGAGGCCAGGAGTTAGAGATCCACCTGGGAAACAGCAAGACCCTGTCTCTATAAAAAGTTTAAAAATTAGCTGGGTGTGGTGGCATACTCCTGTAGTCCCAGCTACTTGGGAGGCTGAGGCAGGAGGACCACTTGAACCCAGAAAGTTGAAGCTGTAGTGAGCAGTTATAGCTCACCAGATGACAGAGCAAGATGCTGTCTCTTAAAAAAAAATCTAGTAAGCCCATTGGAGATAAGTGCTCTATAAATATAAAATATATTTTTTCTTTTTGACTAGTAGATTTCTAATTTTTCTCTTTAACTGGTGTTAGGATTTTTGTTTTTTTGTATTTTTTTATGGCAGATACTATATCTTTTTCATCTTTGCATTTCTAACACAGGTGCCTTACAGGTGTTAAGAACTTACCATATGTGGTCAAGTAAACAATCAAGGTAAAGAGCGTCAAGTAAAAACTTCTAAGTACTTCAGACACTCCCCCAGTGGCTAAAGTGGCATACAAATTTTGAAGTTGAATCATTTGGAATGAATGTAAGAGAATTGTCAAGGTATTTGCTTTTTTTCAAGAATCTGTGCTTCCTAACTTTACTGAGTTGTTGTTGTCCAGTGATGTTTTTACATCTTAGGTTTTGCAGCTTGGTTGGGCTAAGGATTTGAGAGTTTGTTTTCTCAAACTTGCACTGAACAAACAAACTTGCACTGTTGTACTGTGAAAAGAATGAAGAAAATTCTCAGTTGCTACCAGTTTGCCTGAATTGGCTTTTTTCCTTCTTCTTTCCTTTCTTAGGGCTCCTCCTATTCCAGAGAGGGAACCTCATCCAGGACCATGAAGCTACTTCCTCACCATCCGTATACTACTTGATTAAGCTAATGCTGCAGGAACCATGGTTCCTTGGAAGGAATCAAGCTGATTCTTGGCATGAGATCCCTGCTTTCTTAGGGTTGAGAGGGGTACTGCCATGGCTTCTCTGGATGACCCAGGGGAAGTGAGGGAGGGCTTTCTCTGCCCTCTGTGCCTGAAGGATCTGCAGTCTTTCTATCAGCTTCATTCACATTACGAGGAAGAGCACTCAGGGGAAGACCGTGATGTCAAAGGGCAAATTAAAAGTAAGAAGCGAGGAGCTTGCCTATCCCCTGCTGTCAGTGAGAGCTTTAACTCATGGGATAGTTCTTATCAGCTTCGGCGTTGCCACAGGAATATGATAATAGTAGTAGCAAACAGATGACTGGTGTTTGTCATGTGCCAGGCATTTTCAGAATCTCCCTGTTTATTAATTTCATTTAGTCCTCACAATAACTTTGTGGCTGTGAGCCACATTTTGCTGATGAGGGCACACAGAGAGATTAGATAACATGTCTAAAGCCACTCAGTGAAACACAGTCTGTCTTTGAATCTAGTAAATGTAATCACTGTGATCTGGCTTGACAGTTCTCTGACCACCAGCCTAACAGGGTTTGAAGAGGAATTTCTTTCCTTTGCTATGATGGTGGAGGCACATTATACACCCATTTTACCTGTCACAGATTTAGGCCTTCCCACCATCCTTTCTTCCCCAATTGGTATCTTGCCCTCTATACCCCAGAAAAAGGAAGGTCATAGTTGAAGAACAAAGAGAAACAATCTGAAAACTTTGGTTTTTGAGCTTCCAAGAGCTCAGATCTGAGCGAGTTGTGGAAAGAATTCTTCAAAGGTACTTTTGACTATACATACATTTATTGTATTTCCTGGACTTGAAATTCTAACCTCCAAATAAGATGCTGCTCCTCTTGCTGGGCACAGTGGCTCACGCCTCTATTCCCAGCACTTTGGGAGGCCAAGGTGGGCGGATCACTTGAGCTCAGGAGTTCAAGACCAGCCTGGGCAACATGACAAAACCCATTCTCAAAAGAATTTTTAAAAAACTAGCTGGGCATGGAGGTGTGTGCCTGTAGTCCCAGTTACTCAGGAGACTGAGGTAGGAGGATTGCTTGAGCCCAAGGAGGTCAAGGCTGTAGTGAGTGGTGATTGTGTCACTGCACTTTTGCCTGGGCAACAGAGAGAGGGATAGAGAGAGATCCTGTCTCAGACACACACAACAAAGCTGTTGCTCCTCTGGAACTTACTTTCGTGGTTATTCAGCTAATTTGCTTCTCACAGCTGGCAGCATTTCTGAAGGCCATGAAATTAAACAGTTCCGGACCAGGTGCAGTGGCTCACGCCTGTGATCCCAGAGTCTTTCTGTTTATTATGTCCCTCAGGGCAGATCACCTGAGGTCAGGAGTTCAAGACAAGCTTGGCTAACATGGTGAAATCCGGTTTCTACTACAAATACAAAAAATTAGCTGGGCCTGATGGTACACACCTGTAATCCCAGCTATTTGGGAGGCTGAGGCAGGAGAATCGCTTGAACCCAGGAGGCAGAGGTTGCAGTGAGCCAAGATCGCTCCATTTTACTCCAGCTTGGGCAACAAGAATGAAAGTGCGTCTTGGGGAAAAAAAAAAGTTCTGGATGCTCTATTCACAGACTTTATTGAGAGGGAAAGAAAGGAATGATCATGTATTCCTAAGTGGACTTTGGTCTTCAGACAAGCGAATCATATACACTTTGTAATCAGATATTTGTGCCTAGAGTCCCACTCTATCTCACTTTTCTGTTCAGTAAAAAAAAGTTTCTGAAAACATAAACAAAACTAAAAAACCGCTAACAAAGGCAAACATTTCTGAAATTCTGAGAGCTATGATGGATGAGGTGGCTTCTGGCTGTAGAGGTTGTAGAGCAGAGCCAAAACTATTAGGAGGGGAAAAAAATGCTGTGCTTTATAGTTTTTAAGAGTTTCTTTCACAGACATTATTATTTCATCTGACTTTCCTAACTTTGCAAGAAAGTGTTGGTCTCGGCCGGGCGTGGTGGCTCACACCTGTAATTCCAGCACTTTGGGAGGCTGAGGCAGGCCGATCATGAGGTGAAGAGTTCAAGAACATCCTGGCCAACATGGTGAAACCCCATCTCTACTAAGAATATAAAAATTAGCTGGGCATGATGGCACGTGTCTGTAGTCCCAGCTACTCAGGAGGCTGAGGCAGGAGAATCGCTTGAACCCGGGAAGCAGAGGTTGCAAGTGACCCGCGATCACGCCATTGCACTCCAGCCTGGCGACAGAGCGAGACTCTATCTCAAAACAAAAACAAACAAAAAGAAAGTGATTGGTCTCATTTTATAGATAGCAAGTGAAGTGAGGCTCAAGAGACATTGAGTTACTTATCCACGGTCACATAGGAATTGGCAGAACTAGGCCTGGAATGTAGGTCTTCTGTTATCTCTAAGTCCAGGGCTGCCCTTTACACGTGACATCACTGAGGATGAGAGGCCCATGTTCCAATCACAGCATGCATCGCAGCTTCCTGGGGGAAATGAAGCAAAAACAAAACTAAAAAACCTGATTATCTAAGTTTCCTTTGGACAACCAAAGAGCCTTCATGGTTTTCAACTAGCTTCCAGTCTTGGTGTCAGCTGAACTAAGTCATTTACAATGCCATTACTAAAACTGGTGATACATATAGAGGTTAGAGACTGTTCTCAGATTCCTACAGTTACTCTTTTTTAAGAGGAAAAATGTTTAAGGTTATTTAGAGAATAGAGATATAGGAATCTATTTAAGGAATACTAAATAGAGTAGAAGTTTTGTGCCTTGTGAAAGAAACTTGAAAGGATCCTTGGCTGGGCACAGTGGCTCACACCTGTTATCCCAGCACTTTGGGAGGCCAAAGTGGGCAGGATCATTTCAGCCCAAGAGTTTGAGACCAGCCTGGGCAACATAGATCCTATCTATACAAAGGAAAAAAAAAAATTTTTTTTTTTTTTGAGATAGTTTCACTGTTGTTACCCGAGAGTGCAATGGCACGATCTCGGCTCACCACAACCTCCGCCTCCTGGGTTCAAGCAATTCTCCTGCCTCGGCCTCCCAAGTAGCTGGGACTACAGGCACGCACCACCATGCCCAGCTAATTTTTGTATTTTTAGTAGAGACGGGGTTTCATCTTGTTGACCAGGATGGTCTCGATCTCTTGACCTCGTGATCTACCCACCTCGGCCTCCCAAAGTACTGGGATTATAGGCGTGAGCCACCGTGCCCGGCCTGGAAAAAATTTTTTAATTGGCTGGGCATGGTGGCATGCACTTGTAGTCCTAGCCACTTGGGAGGCTGAGGCATCAGGATCCCTTGAGCCCAGGAGGTCGAGGCCGCAATGAGCCCTCATTATGCCACTGCACTCCAGCCTGGGCAACAGAGTGAAACCCTGACATAAAACAAAATAAAGTTACTTCAGCTGGTTACAGGGGCTCACACCTGTAATACTAGTACTTTGAGAGGCCAAGGCAGGAGGACTGCTTGAGCCCAGGAGTTCGATCCCAGACTGGATAACATAGCGAGACCATCTCTACAAAAAAATTATTTAAAAAAATTAGCCAGTTGTAGTGGCATGCACTGGTAGTCCCAATTACTTGGGAGGCTGAGGTGTGAGAATCGCTTCAGCCCAGGAGATCAAGGCTGTCACATTCTATCCTGAGAGACAGAGTGAAACTGTCAAAAAAAAGAGAAAAGATTCTCTTGGGTTTTTCCCTTTATTTTCCACCCTGACCTACCTCTCATATCTCTACTTCTAGTACTACTAGTGATCATGTCTTTAGTTTGAAAGGAATTCTTGATTATGTTGCAGTTTTCTACATTTCAGAATCAGGAAAGTAAAGTTTTAAGGATAGACATGAAAGGGTTTTTGAAAACCGCTTTTGAAAGCAGATCACCTCTTCATTTGGTCTTTTGGTTCTTAGAAATATTATGACATGGCTAGTTTTAGGCAAGTGAAAAATTAAAGCTAAAAGAATGAACCTTGGTATTAGATTTTGGGGGCAGTCCAAAAAGGAAAAGATAGATTAGTCATTAGCAAAAAGTTAGTGGGTTCAAGCCGTAGCCCTGGTTCAGCTACAGTTTAGCCCATTTTCAGTAAGTAGAAGAAAAGTTAGCTGAAAATTGACTGTGGCTTCTTGCTTTGTCAGTATTTTTTAAAATATATGGGATTATTCCTAATTGGCCACCTCTGGAAGGGCTACATCCATTCTGGGAAGGTTGCCAGACAGTTTTTCTGTCTCCTAAGGTGGTACAGATTGCCTGTTTAATCTGATACTTTAGTGTTTTTCCAAAACCGAATTGTTATGTTAACTCACATTCCCCGGTTATTAGAAAAGACTACTTTAGACCAGGCATGGTGGCTCATACCTATACTCACAGCACTTTGGGAGGCTGAGGCAGGCAGATCACCTGAGGCCAGGAGTTCAGGACCAGCCTGGCCAACATGGTGAAACCCCGTCTCTACTAAAAAAGTAGAAAAATCAGCTGGGTATAGTGGTACATGCCCACTGAGTAATCCCAGCTATTCAGGAGGCTGAGGCAAGAGCATCCCTTGAACACCCAGGAGGCGGAGGTTGTAGTGAGCCGAGATTGCTGCCATTGCACTCCAGCCTGGGCAACAAGAGTGAAACTCCATCTCAAAAAAGAAAGAAAAGACAAAGACTACTTCAGTGGATTTTAAAGGATGTACTTTTGGTATTTTTCCAATTTGGAAAAAGCTGTCCCAGAGTGACCAATAATCAAGAAGTTTGGTTATTGGCCTGACTGTCTTAAAAAAAAGACAAGTGTATTCTTACTAATCTTATCCTCTGCCTGCCAGCCTGGGCAACATAGTGAGACCCCCATCTCTACAAAAAATATTTTTTTTAATTACCTAGTCTTGATGGTGCACATGTGTAGTTCCAGCTACTTGGAAGACTGAGGTGAGAGGATTGCTCGAGCCCAAGAGATCGAGGCTGCAGTGAGCTATGATCACACCACTGCACTCCAGCCTGGGTGACAGTGTGAGACCCTATCTCTAAAAAATAAATAAAATGTGGGCTGGGCGTGGTGGCTCACGCCTGTAATCCAAGCACTTTGGAGGCCAAGGTGGGCAGATCACCTGAGGTCGGGAGTTCAAGACCAGCCTGACCAACATGGTGAAACCCCATCTTAAAAAAATAAAGAAAGAAAGAAAAATAAATAAAATGTTAAAGTAATGATATCATTTAATATTCAATCTGAGCATTTCTAGTAGATTCTGGTGGAAGAAAGGGATAGCAGTCATCCAAGATTAAAGAACATTCATGAGAGAGAGAACAGCTTAGAACTGAGAATTCTCTTTTTCCCCCATTCAGCTGATTGTTCAGTTTAACAGGTGGTTCCCTTCCCCAGCACAGGTGGCAGAACCCACGTTCTGCAGAGGCATAGTTTGTGAATCAGCACTAGCTGGGGAGAGCTGGAGCTCTCATTTCAGACAGATGAAGTGTCTACTTCCAGCCCTGCTGTTACCTATAAGCTCTATGGTCTTGGATGAAGCAAGTTCTTCCCCATCTTTGATGTCATTTCCTAATTTGTAAGTAGGGCTGTTACCTGCCATATAACATTTTGATCATGAACTGGCATAATGTATTTGCAAGCCCTTTGCATTGTGCCTGGTGTATACAAGGACTAAATACAGGAAATGTTCATTTTCTCTTCTTACCAAATCTGGTTCCATGTTGTAGATGTTATATCTCTTTCTTGAAGCTTTTTGCAAATATTCTCACATGGGTTTAGTAAGTGGGTGGGCAATAGTGGGGAAGGAAGAACTTTGTCCAGTTAAGCCTTATGGGGAACACCATTCCAGCGATGGAGGTTTAGCTTAATCCCATCCTGGAGGTAAATGAAAAAAATTTACTCATGAGTTCCTGGGGTAAATAAATTAGTACTATAGAACTTAGTTTTTAAAAAACTAGGCCAGGCTCAGTGGCTCACCCTTTTAATCCCAGCACTTTGGGAGGCTGAGGCAGGCGGATCACCTGAGGTCGGGAGTTCGAGACCAGCCTGACCAACATGGAGACACCCCTTTCCTACTAAAAATACAAAAAAGTTAGCTGGGTATGGTGGTGGGGGCTTGTAGTCCCAGCTATTCAGGAGGCTGCAATAGGAGAATCGCTTGAACCTGGGAGGTGGAGGTTGCATTGAGCCAAGATTGTGCCATAGCTCTCCAGCCTGGGTGACAGAGCAAGACTCCATCTTAAAACAACAACAGCAACAAAAAACCACTTTATTTTAACTGAGGTATAGTTTTTAAGTGTACACTTTAATTTTTTTGTTTTTGTTTTTGTTTTTTGAGACAGGGTCTCATTCTGGTTGCCCAGGCTGGAGTGCAGTAGCACAATCTCAGCTCACTGCAGCCTCGACCTCCTGGGCTCAGGTGATTCTCCCACCTCAGCCTCCCAGGTAGCTGGAACTATAGGTTTGCACCACCACACCCAGCTAGAATTTTGCATTTTTAGTAGAGATGGGGTATTGTCATGTTGCCAAGGCTGGCTTGAACTCCTGGACTCAGGCAATTTGCCTCCCTTGGCCTTTCAAAGTACTGGGATTATGGATGTGAGCCACTGCTCCTGGCCCAGTTCAGTAAATTTTGAGAAATATATATACCCACTTAACCACTCCAATTAAGATAAAGAAGAAAAGACTTCCATCACTCTGTTTCCCTCATCAAATTTTATTTTAAAACATTTTTAAATTGTGCTCTTAAATTTGGCAGTGAGCAGTAATTTAGTCCATATGTTGGCCACCTAAACAACTAATGTTGACTGACCAGTATATTGCTCTGTGGTATTTGTAATATAGTGTTTGTGTGCTTGTTCCTGCATTTTACCTGGGATCTAAATATTTCTGGTGCATTTTTAAACAAGTGATAATTATTTTGTCAACTTTTGTTTTTAGAGTCATTTCCCTTGACTCTAATGGGTGTTATTCATGATTCATTTATATCGTTTGTTCCATTTTTCAAGGTCTTGTTCAGAAGGCTAAGAAAGCAAAGGACAAGTTGTTGAAACGAGAAGGGGATGATCGAGCAGAATCAGGGACCCAAGGATATGAGTCTTTCAGCTATGGAGGGGTTGATCCTTACATGTGGGAACCCCAGGAGCTTGGTAAGAAAATTCATTTATTCATTCAGCAAGTGGTTATGGAGCATCTGCTGTGTTCTAGGTAAAGTTTTAAAAGTTGGCTGAGGAGGCATCAGTAAACCGTAATGGTCTAAGCTTCTCATGTACCTTATGCCCTTGTTGGGGGAAGAAAATGGAAGACCTGAGCATTCACTTTGTGTTAGGCACTACATTAAGTGCTTTATATCCATGGTCTTGTTAAATCTTCACTGCACCTCATGAGAACGTGCCCAGGGACAAACAGCAAGTAAACTGCAGAAATGGGGTATGAATCCATATCTCTCTGATGTTAGCTCAGGCACAGATTCCATTAATAAGTCTGTTTCATCTTACATAGGATATTACCTGCCCAGTGACAGGCACTGTTTTATGCAGCTTACTTTTTTGAATCGTTATGGTACCATCTACCTACTTTCACGTTTTTGGGATGGTGAAAATTCTCTAAAATTTATTATGATGATTGTACAATTCTGAAGATACTAAAAACCACTGAAATTTTGCTTTAAATGGTGTATGTATGTGAATTATATCTCACTAAAGCTATTTATCATGCCACACACACTTAGTTAAACTATCTAATCTTACATATATCTGTTTTGTTTTGTTTTGTTTTGTTTTTGAGAGAGAGTCTCACTCTGTTGCCCAGGCTGGAGTTCAGGGCTCCATCATGGCTCACTGCATTCCAGGCTGAAGTGATCCTCTCACTTCAGCCTCCTGAGTAGCTGAGACTACTTGTGCACATCATCCCACCTGGCTAATTTTTGTATTTTTTGTAGAAACAGGGTCCTACTATGTTGTCCAGGCTAGTCTCAAACTTCTGGGCTCAAGTGATCCTCCCATCTCAGCCTTCCTGAGTGCTGGGATTATAGGTGTGAGCCACCATGCCTGGCTATATATCCTTTAACTGTCTAATGATAATAGTTCTTAATATAATAAAATATTTTCTGTCCATAAAATGGGTAATTATTCCTTTATAGTGATTTATTAAATTTTCATGTTTATTATCTTGTTCACCTTTCACAAAAGTCTTGTGGAATAGTGGTCCTTATTCCCATTATAGATAAGGAAACTGGGGCTCTAAGAAGGAAAGCAATATTTACCCAGGCTAGTCTACTGTATCCCTATAGTGCCATTACAGAAGGTATCTCTTTGAATAAGGAGAGTCCAACAACTGTGCTGTTTTTTCAGTAGCCACCAGTCATTTTTAAGTTTAAATAAATTAAAATGGCTATTTAAGTTGAAATAAATTAAAATGAAATAAAATTAAAAGTTACTTCCTGAACCCACACTAGCCACATTTTAAGTGCTCTGTGTCCACTTGGGCTATTTGCTACTGTATTGGAGAATTGAAACATTTTTATTATTGCAGGAGAAAATTGCTTTAAAAATAATACTATACATATGTAATTATGAGATATATATGAAAGTCAATTCAAAACATGAAGGAGAAATTTTGGACATATGAATTCTTGTTAGCTTTGTTTCATGATTGCCAGTGTGAAATTCCTAGGGTGTTTTTCTGATTAAGTTGCCAGTGGCAGCGACTGAAGATAGTCACAAATTGTAGAAGGTCAAGTGAATGGCAGATTTTAGCAGTTAATATTTATTTGTGATAGCTTGTTTCATGATTGCCAATGTGAGATTACTAGGGTGATTTTTAAGTTGCCAGTTGCAGCAACTGAAGATAGTCACAAACTGTAGAATGTCGGGGTCCGGCACGTCTGCCGGGGGACTACCGACCCGCGGGAGTCCCCGAGACCGCCAACGTAGATGTCTCGTTCAACCTGAGAGAGAGAGTGCGCGGAAAAGAAAGAACATAGAAAAGTAGAGTCTGGAGGGCTGCGTGAAGATTATGGCCAAAACGCAGCAAATTTATTTTTGTGGGTTACAGCTTTTATACCTTTTGTCTTGTTTACATTTACCTCATCTCAGCAGAAAGAAACAAAGGGGAAGACAGAAAGGAAACAAACTCCATAAAATAGATATCCGGGGCTTGTGATATCCTGCTCAGGAAGCAGTTTAAGGGGGCTAGTGGTAGTAGTTTACATTTCAATGATTTTACATTCTAAAGATACAATGGCACCCTTAAGGTGGCTGGTTAAACCTGTTTTTCATCAGGAGCTAAAACAAAGGCTTGGCTCCAGGGAAAATATGGGCAGATGTCTCTGCTCCTCTTAGACATTTCAATTGCAGCAAGTTTATTGCTTACACAGAGACTGAAGGGGGACATGGAAGCAGACAGCACAATGTCCTCATAAACTGTAGGCCTTTGCTTTGCATCCTATTGTTGCTTTTAGTGAGTCAGCTTACGGCCCTGTCTCACTCGACAGCCCTCGAGGTGAGGAAATGCAGTACAGGTCCAGCAGCCAAACTGAGGCAAGTCAACTGTCTCGAGCCTTTGGCGTGAACACCACAGTAGAAGGTCAAGTGAATGACAAATTTTAGCAGTTAACATTTATGGTCACCCCTAAGAATTCTAAACTGAAGTTCAATTAGATGTTAGAGTATGGTTAGGGAAGAAAAGACATGTGTGGGCCTGGGTATGGTGGCTTACCTTTAATATCAGTACTTTGACAGGCCAAGGCAGGTGGATCACATGAGACCAGGAGTTTGAGACCAGTTTAGCCAACATGGTGAGACCCTGTCTGTACTAAAAATACAAAAATTAGCCGGGCATGGTGGCGCATATGTATAATCCAAGTTACTTGAGAGGCTGAGGCATGAGAATCACTTGAACCTGGGAAGCAGAGATTGTAGTGAGCCGAGAGATTGCACTACTGCACTCCAGTGACAGAGCAAAACTCTGTTAATAAATAAATAAATAAATAGTGTATAGCATGTGGAGATGCTGATCAAAGGATACAAAATTTCAGTCGGGAGGAATAAGTCAAGAGATCTGTTGTTAAAGGGGTGATTTATAGTTTTTTGTTTGTTTTTCTGAGACAGAGTCTTCCTCTGTCACCCAGGCAGGAGTGCACTGCTGCGATCTTGGCTCACTTCAAATTCTGCCTCCGGGTTCAACTCTTGTGCCTCAGCCTCCTGAGTAGCTGGGACCACAGGCGTGTACCACCATGCCTGGCTAATTTTTGTATTTTAAGTAGAGATGGGGCTTCACTACATTAGTCAGGCTGGTCTCAGAACTCCTGGCCTCAAGTTATCCATGCTCCTCGGCCTCCAAAAGTGCTGGGATTACAGGTGTGAGTCACCATGCCCAGCCTGATTATAGTTAATAAAAATAAGGCCGGGTGCAGTGGCTCACACCTATAATCCCAGCACTTTGGGAGGCCGAGGCAGGTGGATCATGAGGTCAAGAGATTGAGACCATCCTGGTTAACATGGTGAAACCCCGTCTCTACTAAAAATACAAAAAAATTAGCTGGGCATGGTGGCACATGCCTGTAGTCCCAGCTACTCAGGAGGCTGAGGCAGGAGAATTGCCTGAACCCAGGAGGTGGAGGTTGCGGTGAGCCAAGATCGCGCCATTGCACTCCAGCCTGGGTAACAAGAGTGAAACTCTGTCTCAAAAATAAAATAAAATAAAAATATCTTGTGGGCTGGGTGCAGTGGCTCACACCTGTAATCCCAGCACTTTGGGAGGCTGACGTGGGTAGAGCACGAGGTCAAGAGATTGAGACCATCCTGGCTAACATGGTGAAACCCTTGTCTCTACTAAAAATATAAAAATTAGCTGGGCATGGTGGCTCATGCCTGTAGTCCCAGCTACTCAGGAGGCTGAGGCAGGAGAATTGCTTGAACCTGGGAGGCAGAGGTTGCAGTGAGCCAAGATCACACCACTGCACTCCAACCTGGTAGCAGAGCGTCTCAAAAAAAGAAAAAAATCTTGTATTCTTAAAAATCAGTGAGAGTAGATTTTGTGATGTCACCACAAAAAGTGATAAGTATATGATATAATGCATATGTTAATTAGCTAGTTTAGCCATTCCCTAGTGTATAAATATTTCAAAAAATCATGTTGTGCATGGTGAATATATGCAGTTTTTATTTGGCAATTAAAATTTTTTTAAAAAGCATGGCATGTGACAAAATCTGTTATAGTACAATCTCTAAATGAATAAGTGATCACTGGGATGAGGATGTGCACTGAGTGCCAGGATGTTTGAGGGCAATATGTTTCTGGATCAGGTGAGACTGAGCTGGAAATATTTCAGGTATTCTCAGACAGTAAGCTATTGGGTTCTATTTGTGTTGCAGAGGTTTGTCCCAGGTCTTGGCTGCTGGACTGAGGAAGGTATCAGTTTAACTAGCTCCCACAAGGGAATCTATCATTTTTTTGACCATTTTGAGAACTGTCTTTATCCTTCAGAAAAGCCATATTGTATCAGATTTACAACATATAAAACAATAAGATAATTCAGAAAATTTTAAATTGCCCATGATGTTATCACCCTGTTTATTTAACATTAGCATGAGAGTCAGGTAAGACTTTATAAATTTTAACTTATTTAATCATCGTAACAACTCTGTGAAGTAGATACCATTATTACTGTATTTGACAGTTGAGTACTCTTGAGTTACAGAGAAGTTAAGTAACTTGTCCAAGGTTACACAGCGTGTGGCAGAATTGAAACTTTAGCACAGGCTGACTCCAGCATGCATGCTGTTATCTACTCTACTCTAAAGTCTCTCATATGGTATTTGGTGGCCTCAAGGTCATGGTTAACATTTTAGCAGATTTTCTTCCATTTGCTATCCTGGCTTTTGAATTTTTGGTAAGACTATAAAATCTTAGAGTTTTTACTTGTTTTTTATTTTTATTTTTTTCCCTGAGATTGGTCTCACTCTGTCACCCAGGCTGGCGTACACTGGTGGGATCATAGCTCCAACACCTAGGCTCAAGCCATCTTCCTGCTTTGGTCTCCCGAGGAGCTGGGATTATAGGCGTACATGCCCATACCTGGCTAATATTTTTTTTTTTTTGAGAGAGACGGGGTCTCACTATGTTGACCAGCCTGCTTTTGAAATTCATTGATGATAGCAACAAGGTAGAGAGGCTGCCTCAGAGAAATTGTAAGTCATTTGTCTCCCCATTTCCTTCCCTCTAGGTGCTGTGAGAAGCCATCTTTCTGAATTCAAAAAACACCGAGCTGCTAGAATTGACCACTATGTTGTGGAAGTCAATAAATTAATAATCAGGTTAGAGAAGGTAAATTTTGTAGTCTTAAAACATTTTTTTCTGTAAATACACATTTTCTGGGGAAAAATAATCACATTTCTATAGCATGTGTTGTAGATGTCATATACATCTGATGCTGCCAGAGAAACCCCTTCTCTAGAGAGTTGCAGAGGACCTGGTGTACAGTTCTAGCCTGGGCCAGCTTTCCTTAACAGAATGACCCAGGCTGACAGACTTGCCACATGCTCAGCTTCCCTTTCACCACCTATAAATCCCACTCAGATGCTGGAAAACCTTTCTTCCTTCAGATTCTTCTTTTGAGTGTCCCGGGCACAATCACCTAGTGAAGTGTGGGGTGTGATCGCAAACAAAGGAGTGGTGACCAGGTCTCAGTGGTGTATTTTGATCCTAGATATGCTTGTTGTGTGTAACCTGGATTTTGAGCTGGGCATAGTAGCAACCACAAGTACAGTTCTTTATGTGTACTTTGTAAGGCAGAAATAAGTGGCCAGTTTTAGGGTCTAGGAGCACTGTGGAGAATGGAGAGTTTTCCATTGCTTTTAATTGCTGCCCCTACCCATCCTTGCCTAGCCCTGGTTATTGCTAAAATTGGTAACTGACAATAAAGAGATTAGAAGTGGGTCACAGGAAGGGAGGTGGCTTCTAGATGCAAAACTGATATTCTGTCCCACGTGAAATTGTTTTTGTGATTTTGTGGAGTTGGGGATGACAGATGAGATTTGAGAAATCCAAATGTGCCAATTCCTACTCGAGGTATTGGAAAGTGTGGAGCATGTATACATCACCTGGTTAATTTCACTTGGCACTATTTTCTCTTGGTCAGCTCACTGCATTTGACAGAACAAATACTGAGTCTGCAAAGATTAGAGGTAACTTTAAAACTTTGCTCACATTCTTCTTATCCTTTATCTTTTTTCCCTGACCAAATCTCTCTTTAAAATGGCTTTTTTGTTGGTTTGCTCTTCCCAAAGCAATAGAAAAGTCTGTGGTGCCTTGGGTCAACGACCAGGATGTCCCTTTCTGTCCAGACTGTGGGAATAAGTTCAGCATCCGGAACCGCCGCCACCATTGTCGCCTCTGTGGGTCTATTATGTGCAAGAAGTGTATGGAGCTCATCAGCCTTCCCTTGGCAAGTAGGTGACCTGGAGGTGGGGCCCTGGACCCTCATCTTCTTTTGGGTCTACCTTATTTGCTAATCACCACTGGGACCTTGGAACCTTTTTGGTAAATTAATGGTGCATTGGAATCGTCATTTATTCAATTGCTGATTCTGTGAAGCCCACTACAGGCTAGGTACTATGCTAGGAGCCAGAGATAGAGTGGTCTATAACAGGGGTTGGCAAGCTTTGTAAATGATCAGACAGTAAAGAAATTTAGGCTTTGTGGGCCATGTATGGTTTCTGTGACATTTCTTCTTTCTTTAAACTACCTTTTTTTTTGAGATGGAGTTTCACCCTTGTTACCCAGGCTGGAGTGCAATGGCGTGATCTTGGCTCACTGCAACCTCCGCTTCCTGGATTCAGGCAATTCTCCTGCCTCAGCCTCCTGAGTAGCTGGGATTACAGGCACGCACCACCACGCCCAGCTAATTTTTTGTATTTTTAGTAGAGACGGGGTTTCACCATGTTGACCAGGATGGTCTCGATCTCTTGACCTCGTGATCCACCTGCCTCGGCCTCCCAAAGTCCTGGGATTACAGGCTTGAGCCACCATGCCCGGCTAAACTACCTTTTAAAAATGTGAATATTAGACTAGGTGCAGTGGCTCATGCCTGTAATCACAGCACTTTTGGAGGCTGAGGCAGGCGGATCACTTGAGGTTAGGAGTTCAAGACCAGCCTAGCCCCCATGGTGAAACCCTGTCTCTATAAAAACACAAAAATTAGGCTTGGCCCAGTGGCTCATGCCTGCAATCCCAGCACTTTGGGAGAGGCCAAGGCAGGCGGATCACCTGAGGTCAGGAGTTTGAGATCAGCCTCACCAACATGGAGAAACCCTGTCTCTACTGAAAATACAAAATTAGCCAGGCGTGGTGGCGCATGCCTGTAATCCCAGCTACTTGGAAGCCTGAGGCAGGAGAATCACTTGAACCCAGGAGGCAGAAATTGCAGTGAGGTGAGGTCACAATCTAGGCAACAAAAGCGAAACTTCATCTCAAAAAAAAAAAAAAAATTATCCAGGCCTGGTAGCATGCACCTATAGTCCCAGCTACTCGGGAGGCTGAGGCAAGAGAATTGCTTGAACCCAGGAGGCAGAGGCTGCAGTGAGTTGAGATTGAGCCACTGCACTCCAGCCTGGGCGACTGAGCAAGACTCCCATCTCAGAATAGAATAGAATAGAACTTATATTTAGTTTGAGAGCCATATGGAAATAACCTTCAGGCTGAATTTGGCTCAAAGGTCATCTTTTGCCCATTTCTGGCCTATAAGGCATTGTCCATTCTTCCAAGAAGTTCAGCATCTAGCAGTGGATACAAACTCACAAATAAATAATTGCTTTCTAAGGAGAGATGTACTATGAAAGAGATTGTGTCAGGCACTCAGGAGAGGCTGACCAACTGTCAGCTCTGCTTGGAAGTGGCAGGTGTGACTTGGAGAAGAGGGTCTTAATATAAGCAGTGTACTAGTCCCTTCCTATAGGATAAGTCACAGACAACTCGCTGTCATATACAAAAGACTAATACCATAATATTAGAGATGCTGAGTGCCATGGGCTCAGGGACAATGAGAGCATGGATACTTAGGGCTGGGAAGTGATAGGTGAGAAGAACCTTGAAAGGTGTGTAGGATTGCAAAACAGATGGAGAAGGAAGGCATTTTAGGTAGAGTGAAGAGCAGGAGCAAAGGCATAGAATTCTGGAAAGCCCAGGGTAGATGAATAGATGAGCAAATAGAATAGTTGGGGGGTGCGGAGGACAAAGTTTAGGTGGAACTTGATCTTCTGGGACTTTGCAACCAAGCTGATTAGAAGTTGCTGAAGATTATCTCATTTCCTTCTGGGAAGTTTGGGGTACATTTGCAACACTAGAGATTTCTGCCGGCTGTGCATGCTGGTGGCCGTGGGGTGTCTGGATAACGTGGGGACAAAAACAGATGCTTACGTCTAACTCTCACATAAACTAGTCACTTTACCTTGATACTTTCTCCCTGAGACCAACTCCCTGTCTCACATGACTTGATAAGCTGCCTTTTTGGGACACTATTCACCTTTCTTCCCTTGAGCTCTTTAGCCAGCATTTACTGGGCAGCTGCTGTGGGGTGGCCCTGCTGGATATGTTAAGGGTGCAAGTGTGACTAAGACGCAGTTTGTACCCACAAAGAGTCAGGGTTTCCTAGGGCAGCTCTGGGGTGTATATGTAACTATACACAGGGAGAAAAGTGGAAAGTGCTCCAAAATGGGCAATGGTGGGAGCTGATGGGAAGGATGGGTAGTTTTTGCCTCAGGGAATTGGAGAAGGCTTTCCCGGAGTACCTGCCATTTAGAGAGGGTAGGAGCCAGATGCTTGGGAATAGGGAGAAGGCTGTGGAGGAAAGTCTCCCAGGAGAATGTATGTTGTGTTGGAGGCACAGGGCAAATGGAAGAGGGTGCCAGGTAGAAAGGCCAGGTTGTTTGGATTTGGAGGGGCAGCAGTGGAGTCCTTTCCCACCAGAATCTGATACTGGGAAGGCAGAGGGGCAGTACTTGCCCACAGCTGGAGACTGATCTTATTACTCTCCAAATCAAACGCCTGTGGACTGACACCTCAAGTTCGTGGGTATGGTAATTGGATGCTGTGGAGGTCATTGCTGCCTATTGGTGTTGTGGTTACAGACAAGCTCACCAGTGCCAGCAAGGAGTCCCTGAGCACCCACACCAGCCCCAGCCAGTCACCCAACAGTGTCCATGGCTCCCGCCGAGGCAGCATCAGCAGCATGAGCAGTGTCAGCTCAGTCCTGGATGAGAAGGACGATGACCGGATTCGCTGCTGTACACACTGCAAGGACACGCTGCTCAAGAGAGAGCAGCAGATTGATGAGAAGGAACACACACCTGACATCGTGAAGCTCTACGAGGTGATATGCACTGTCTGGTCTTGGGTCTCATTTCTCAGGCAGATTTGGCTCTTTGTTATGTTCACTCCTGCATATTCTGGAGAACGCTTTGGGAAGTTGTTCCTTTGAATCATTTGTAGTTCCTGCTAAAGGGCCATGTTATGATTTCCCAACTAGGGCCCTGTGTGAGTCACAGAGTCATCCTGGGTGTGTTACAACAAACTCATTCCCTCACCCTTCCTTGGCCACTTGAAAGCAGGAGGGTGGAGGCTTTGGTGGCCCAGAGGCAAGAGGAGGAAGGGCAGTTGCCATGTGGTGTGGATAAGTTCTATGGGGAGGGGAGAAGCTAGAGATGTTCATAAACAGTGGGCTGGAAGAATCCCGGGAAACTCACTTGGGAGTGTTAGACTTTGTAAGTTTTAGAAAGTTTTACAAGTTTTTAGGCTTTATCATTTTACTGAAACTTTACAAGTTTTCAGGCTTTACCAGTTTGCCAAGTGTCCCCCTCTTAAGTTTGTCCAAATGCCTCAGCTGTCGTTACCACCAGTGATCCCACAATCCGCCTACTAGATGCATACTCTGAGAAGAAATAGTGTACAAAGAATATCTGGGAGTGAGACTGGCTTGGTCCCTTAAGGGCCAGGTGAGACCGGTGAGCTGAGGAGGACTAGCCAGGTGAGCTGAGTGGGTAGGCAGTAAGAGATGCAAGGAAGAGATCAGCCCAGTCAGAGGAAGCAGCTGTGCAACATTCTGAACAGAGGCAGAGTATATTTTTGTCTGATGACTACTGAATAGACATTGTTAGCAGTTCTGCAGATCATAATGGCAGTGTTTCTAAAATCCCCATGTAAATACTCAGGCTACTAGAAATGGTGTTAATTAAGCCCCATATTGAGTTTCAGATGGAGCTATTCTCCATCCTTTGTGTGGAGTTCATGACCTGGTATCTCATTTCTGTGAATACCCACTGTGCTTTTGCCACCTCCTCTTTTGAAGTGAACCCTGGCAGTACCTTGTGCTGGTTTCCCGTTGTTGCCTGGCATCACTTGGCAGAGGAAGAAAGTAGCAGCTATTTCCTTTTTGCCTTGGTGGACACCTTGGCTTGTGCCCTAGAAGGCCTCGCTCCTCTCGAAAAAATCTGGCTGGATGCGGTGGCTCACCCCTGTAATCTCAGCACTTTGGGAGGCCAAGGCAGGTGGATCACTTGAGGCCTGGAGTTCCAGACCAGCCTGGCCAACATGGCAAAACCTCATCTCTACTGAAAATATGAAAATTAGCCAGGCATGGTGGCAGTGTGCCTGTAATTACAGCTACTCAGGAGGCTGAGGCATGAGAATCACTTGAGCCCAGGAGGTAGAGGTTGCAGTGAGCAGAGATCGTGCCATTGTACTCCAGCCTGGGTGACAGGACAGAACTCCTTAAAAAACAAAACAAAACGTCTGGTCAGAAGCTCCATTGTCACTTTCCTTCCTTCCTGTAAGATTTTATGCTTGGAAACTAGGCCTATAAATGAGAAAACTGATAACAATAATTAATATGTTAGAAAAGTAAACATTTTAAATATATCTCTATTGATGGAGCCTAGCTTCTGGGTAGGCTTTTCTAATCTTGAGCATACCATTTTTTGTTTTTGTTCTTAGAAATTACGACTCTGCATGGAGAAAGTTGACCAGAAAGCTCCAGAATACATCAAGATGGCAGCATCATTAAAGTAAGCTATTCCTCTATGTTTTTCTAATCCAGTGGTGAGTGTTTTCTGGCATTTTAGGTCAATTTTCCAGTAGCCAAAAATGAAAGTCTTAACTTCAGCTGTGCTTTTTTTTTCTGAGACCAGCTGAGGTTGGGTTTTTTCTCCTTTTGGCTGTTATGAAGAGAATCATCTTCATGTCTGTCTTTTAGGGGTACATGTTACCAACACATGAGCTAGTAAAAAGATAGCCACATTCAGTTGACCTTGGCTATTCTAACTAAGCAGGTTTGGGAAGGCCTCAGACAATAGGTACTGTTGCTGAATGCAGCATCTGTTCGGAGCAGAGGAAAGGCAGTGGGTCTCATGCTCATGCCTGGGTAGATGCCATTTCAGTGTCACATTGAGGTGTCAGGGCTTAAAGCAGGCATTTCCCTTAGAGTAGGGGCTGGCAGACTGCAGCCCCTGGGCCAAATGTAGCTTGACATCTGCTTCTTTTTAAAAATCTAGATGTAGTTCACATACCATAAACTTCACTCTTTTAAAGTGTACAATTTTCAGTGGTTTTTAGTGTATTCACAAAATTATGCGACCATTACCACTATCTTAATTCTAAACATTTTCGTCACTCCAATAGGAAATCCCATACCCATTAGCAGCCACTGCCCTTTCCCCATCTCCCTGGCCAACACTAATCTACTTCCTGTCTCTATGGATGTGTCTGTTTTTTGACATTTCATATAAATGGAATCATAATATAAAATTTCTCTGACTTCTTTCACACAGTATAATGTTTTAAAGATTCATCCATGTTGTTGCATGTATCAGTACTTCATTCCATCTGTATGAATGTGTGGATACTTACCACATTTTGTTTATCCATCAGTTGATGAACATTTGGGTTTTTTTCTACTTTTGGCTGTTATGAATAATGCTCCTGTAATATTTATATACAAGTTTTTATGTTCTTTGTGTTTTCATTACTCTTAGGTAGGTACCTAGGAGTGGAATTACTGGGTTTTATGGTAACTATATGTTACCATAGAGTAACATTCCGTAGAGGAATTGCTAAATCGTTTTCTAGAATGACTGTACCATTTTGCATTCCCACCAGCAGTATATGAGGGTTTTACTTTCTTTTTTTTTTTTTTTTTAGCAGACTTCTTTCTGCCTTGAGAGGGTTTTACTTTCTTTATAGCCTTACCAACACTAGTTATTGCTACCTGTTTGCATAAAGTTTTATTGGAACATAGCCATGCCCATGTTTGATTACTGTTTGTGGCTGCTTTTGCACCACCATGACAGAGTTGAATAGCAGCAAAGAGACTGTGTGGCCTGCAAAGCTGAAAACATTTATGATTTAGCCCCTTATGGAAAAAATTTGCTGATCCCTGCTTAAGAGCATGGCTTTTTCTGAAGCTTAGTGTTTGTGACCTAGAAGTTGAAGTGCTAGCTACTAGATTCAGATCCCAGCAGTGTTTTTCCAACCTGTAGGAAAAGAATAATTATGGTCTCCAGGTATTAATTAATTTAATAAGAATTTAATTAATAAGAATTTAATTAATTAATTTAATAAGAATTAATATCAGAGTTTTCTGTCTTTGTCTTAAACCTGTGTTACCGGCCAGGCACGATGACTCACGCCTGTAATCCCAGCACTTTGGGAGGCCAAGGTGGGCGGATCATGAGGTCAAGAGATTGAGACCATGCTGGCCAACATGGTGAAACCCCGTCTCTACTAAAAATACAAAAAATTAGCCAGGTATGGTGGTGCGTGCCTGTAGTCCCAGCTACTTGGGAGGCTGAGGCAGTAGAATTGCTTGAAACCAGAAAACGGAAGTTGCAGTGAGCTGGGATGGTGCCACTGCACTCCAGCCTGGTGATACAGCGAGCCTCCATCTCAAAGAAAAACAAAAAAACAAAAAACCTTTTGTTGCCTACCTGTACATCTAAAGCGATACATGTAGCAGTAGATGTGCCTTGTTTAAAACAAAACCACGTATGTATGTATGTGTGTGTGTGTATATATATATATATATATAATATATATATATATATACACACACACACGCATTTTTTGAGACAGAGTTTTGCTCTATCTTCCAGGCTGGAATGCAGGGGTGTGACCTTAGCTCACTGCAACCTCTGCCTCCCAGTTCAGGTGATTCTGCTGCCTCAGTCTCCCGAGTAGCTGGGATTACAGGTGCCCACCACAATGCCTGGCTAATTTTTGTACTTTTAGTAGAGATAGGGTTTCATCATGTTGGCCAGGCTAGTCTCGAACCTTCTTGGGTACTTTTGAGCCAGAAAAGCCAAGTCACTTTCTGCTCTTAATATAGTATAACCAACTCATTTAGTAAACCACTTCTTACATCTTGTTAGATGTAGGGGGATTGTTTAGGGAAAGTAGGCCAGAATAAATTCAGCCACATTAACCCTCCAAGGGCTAGTCCTTGGAGGCCTCAGCATGAATCTGCCCCTATAGTATCTGCAAATTGAAATGTCACTTCCACTTGATTAATTCATTTCAAGAGATGGACAGTGCATTATATCCGAAAGTCTGAAAATGTCACTTTTAGAGAATTAACTGCCTTTGTGAGGCCTTACACCTTTAGCATCCTTCTACACTATGCTGTCTGATTTGCACCATGAAACTTAGATCACTTATCTCTGTGGTTTCTCCTTAGTGCTGGGGAGACAACCTACAGTCTGGAACATGCCAGTGATCTTCGAGTGGAAGTGCAGAAAGTGTATGAGCTAATAGACGCTTTAAGGTAAGGTCCATTAAGTGGTATCCTGCCCGCTGGTGGAATGGAGAAGATCCTGTTCTAATGAAATGATGGCGAAAGCAGACCTGCACTCACCCAGAGTTCTGGTGATGAAGCAGTGGGTGTGGAGGAGGGCAAGGAAGTAGCCAGCTCTAGCACTTAATGCATCTCAGTGACTTTTGTTTCATTAAGGATTTCTAATGTTTATTATTATTAAAGAAAGAAGAGCTGGTTATTGATACCTATCATGTGCCAGTCACTGGTTGTTTTCTCTAGAATGGCTCATTTATTCTGTCGAAGTTATGCTGTGAGGTAGGGATTAACATCCTGTGTCAAAGATGAGGAATCATGTCACAGATGGCAAAAGCTGTAGAGTGAAGGTAGAAACTCAAGTTCTTTCTTTGTGTCTGTGCTCAAGTCCACAGCTGCTTTTTAATCGTGGACTGGCCATTTGGGTTAAATTAGTCCTTTGAGGTATGAGAAGTACAGCAACTCAGAGGGAGAATGAGATGAGGCACCTTTGTCCATCCAGACGTACAGCACAGGCTACATAGTTTGCAGGGCCTGGCACAAAATGAAAATGCATGTCCCTTGTTCAAAAATTATTAAGAATAAAGATACTAACAGCAGAGCATTAAACCAAGCACAGGGCCCTTTAAGTGCCAGACCTTGTGCAGCTGCCTAGATTGCTCTACATATGTAGTCAGTCCCTCCATAACAGTGTTTGTTGTGCACCGTGTGCTGAGGCCTTATGTACAGCAAAGGGTAAGAAATGGGTTTTGCCTTCAAGGAAACTTCGGTGGAGTCATTTACCCATCTTTACACACCTTCCTTGCATGAAAGCCTGGCAACTCCCGATGTTACACTTTTTGCCCTTGTTTCTGAAGCTGGCCGTGCTCATTACATTCATGTATTTGTTCCAATTCAGTAAGAAGATCTTAACCTTAGGCTTGAACCAGGACCCTCCACCACATCCAAGCAATTTGCGGCTACAGAGAATGATCAGATACTCAGCAACACTTTTTGTGCAGGTAAAGCCATCCTGGGTTGACATAAATGTTGTGCTTGGCCTGTCCTGCTCTTTTCCTTCCCAGAAGGCAGATCCATGCAATGACTTGTTTACTTCCTATTTATACATTTATTATTTTTTGAAATTATGAAAGCATGATGCCACATTTAGAGAAAAATCTGAATTTCAGAGAAAACTAAAACTACTTTTAATCCTATGTCCCCATTACAGTCACTCATTATTCTGGTATGTTTTCATCTTTTTTCCCATTTGCATTTTTTATATACAGTACTTACAATAGTGCATATTTTTAACCATTTTCCTTTAATTGTGCATTTGATAGACTCTAATTTTTTGCTGCTGTTAAGTGTTGTCAGGATAGTAATACTGGTACTTAGTATTTCTTCCTTAGGATAATCTCCTACAGGACTCTTCCTGAGCCATCAGCTGGGAAGAAACAGCCGATTAAGGGCAGACTAACCTAGGTGGTTAGATCTGAATTGTATCTTTCTACCCCTGAAAGCCCCTTCTGAAAGCGTCATAGTTAACCACCTTTGGGGCTTCCTGACAAAGAGGTCTATTTTTTTTTTTTTTAATTAAAACAAAGTTTTTTTTCCCTTTTATTAAATAGAGATAGGATTTTACCACATTGCCCAGGCCAGTCTCAAACTTTTGAGCTCAAGCAGTCTGCCCACCTCGGCCTCCCAAAGTGTTGAGATTACAGGCATGAGCCGCTGCACCCAGCCAACAAAGAGATATAATAGAAAGAGTCCTGTTGGGTTAGTTTTCTAACACTGTAGTACAGAGAGGTAGGCCCTTCCTCACTTTGATTAGTGACTCTATTCAGCAATCATTTGTTGAGTGCCTCCTATGTACCAGGTAGTGTGCTAGGTGTTGGATGTCCTATAGTGAACAAAAAAGACTAACGTTCCTTTTCTCATAAAGCTTATGTTGTAGAGAAGGGGAGAGACCATAAACAACTAAAATATCTAGTATGTAAGATGGCAGAAGTGTTGTGGAGAAACAGCAGGGAAGTGTGAGAGAGAGGGCTGTGATTGAGGTTTGCTAAGTTAATAGGATGGGCAGGGACAAAACCTCATAGAGAAGCTAAAATTGGAGCAAGGTGAATAACTGGGATATCTGATGTTGATCATTTCATAAGGAAAACGCCGGCCCGTTTGAAAGTTGACTCTCTCACCCAATATAACAGTTCCCTCTTTTCCTGCTGTTCTTAAATGATGTCACTCTCCAAGAACAGAGTGGCTCAGCTTAAGTAGACTCTCATTAGAGAGCTTAAGGTTTGTTTTTTCCCTAAAAAGGTTTAAGTGTAAAATTGTCTGTCACTATCTGCAGGAAAAGTTGCTTGGTTTGATGTCACTGCCAACCAAAGAACAGTTTGAGGAACTGAAAAAGAAAAGGAAGGAGGAAATGGAGAGGAAGAGGGCCATGGAGAGACAAGTAAGTGAAGCCAGGGACACAGGGCCTTCTTCCACCTGTGGCTCTAGAGCACAGAGGCTGCCATGGGCTCCCAGGTTGTGTGGGGTTGTAGTGATTCAGAACCTCTCTCTCTCAAATGTGCATATTTCTTCTGTTGTGTTTTGGTCTCTCTTTCTTCTGTGGGAACCAGACTAATTATTTTTCTCCCCAGGTCCTATTTTTCTTTCAGAGCTTTTGCTGATTCTCTCATGGCTGGAATACCACAGAGATTGGCAGTTCTCCCTATGGTAGAAGTCGCAGAGGACCAAGACATTAGGAAGTTCCTTATGGAACATATTGGAATATGCAGTCTTAAACAGGAAATTATACATGTATTTAACGCTGTGTGAGATTCCAGTATAGATGAGGGGAACAGATCTCAGAGGTTTAAGAAAAGTGTACAGCCTGTGAATCTTTTTTTTTTTTTTTGAGACAGAGTCTCACTCTGTCACCAGGCTGGAGTGCAATGGTGTGGTCTCAGCTCACTGCAACCTCTGCTTCCTCGGTTCAAGTGATTTTCCTGCCTCAGCCTCCCAAGTAGCTAGGACTACAGGTGCAGACCACTACACTTGGCTAATTTTTGTATTTTTAGTAGAGATGGGGTTTCATTATGTTGCCCAGGCTCCTGACCTCATGATCTGCCCGCCTTGGCCTCCCAAAGTGCTGGGATTACAGGCGTGCCTGGCTATAGCCTGTGATTTAAGACTGAGAAAATCTGATGCCCTAACTTATTCATTATATTCTATTTTTGAAAATCAGGGTCTCCCTTCCACCCACATACACAAAAACATGAAGATTTTAGCAGTTGGATATCTTTGTCCTCAGGTGGGAAATTGGAGTGTCACTGGCTCAGGGATAGAAGGACAACAGAGGGTGGCTGACAGTGTGGGCTGCTGCCAGCATGGTGACTGTTTCTTCTCTCTGTTTTGCTGTCTCCCCAGGCTGCCCTGGAGTCCCAGCGAAGGCTTGAGGAAAGGCATAGTGGCCTGGCTTCTCAAGCAGCCAACGGCGAGGTGGCATCTCTCCGCAGGGGCCCTGCCCCCTTGAGAAAGGCTGAGGGCTGGCTCCCGCTGTCAGGAGGTCAGGGGCAGAGTGAGGACTCAGACCCTCTCCTCCAGCAGATCCACAACATCACATCGTTCATCAAGCAGGCCAAGGCTGCAGGCCGCAAGGATGAAGTGCGTACCCTGCAGGAGAACCTGCGGCAGCTGCAGGACGAGTATGACCAGCAGCAGACAGAGAAGGCCATCGAGCTGTCCCGGAGGCAGGCTGAGGAAGAGGACCTACAGCGGGAACAGCTGCAAATGCTTCGTGAACGGGAGTTGGAACGAGAAAGGGAGCAATTTCGCGTGGCATCCCTGCACACACGAACTAGGTCCCTGGACTTCCGAGAAATCGGCCCTTTTCAGCTGGAGCCCAGCAGAGAGCCTCGTACCCACCTTGCTTACGCTTTGGATCTAGGCTCTTCCTCAATTCAAAGCAGCATAGCTCCGAAGACTCCTACACCCAGCTCAGCTCAAGAGCCCATCAGAGTGTGGTCTGGGCCCTCAGCCCTTGGCCAGGAGCTGTTAACCCAGAGCAGCATGTCACAGCAAAATGAGGGGCCCTCCTTAAACCCCTTTGATGAGGAAGACCTTTCCAGCCCTATGGAAGAGGGCACCGCTAGTCCTCCTGCTGCAGGGGCTTCCTTCGGCCCTTCAGCCCATATCTCGAAAGAGTACAATCCTTTTGAGGAAGAGGATGACAAGGAGGAGGCAATGGCTGGGAATCCATTCATTCACCCAGACAGCCCAGCTCCTAACCCCTTCAACGAGGAAGCCGAACATCCCCAGCAGAGACACTCAAGCCCTCTGGTTCCTGGCAACCCCTTTGAGGAACCCACCTGTACCAACCCCTTTGAGATGGACAGTGACAGTGGGCCAGAAGCTGAGGAGCCCATAGAAGAGGAGCTCCTGCTGCAACAGATCGATAACATCAAGGCATACATCTTTGATGCCAAGCAGTGCGGCCGTCTGGATGAGGTAGAGGTGCTGACGGAAAACCTGCGGGAGCTGAAGCACACCCTGGCCAAGCAGAAGGGGGGCACTGACTGACCAGCAATGGGGAGGGCATCTTTGGGCCCAGGGGTCTGGCAGGAGCCAGTGGAGCAGGAGCAGGGCAGGTGGGATGGATGGGGAAGGTGGCAGGGTGAGAACTCAGATGCACACTGTTGTGCTCTTTGAGGTATTTCCACTACAGTTGAATAATAAAATAGAAACTAGAACAGGGAGAATCAGCATTCATTTGCTGTTTTTCCTGTTTATTATTATTTTTTTGTAATCAGGGGTTTACCACTTTTGAAGGGAGTTTACATTTTTACTACCCAGATATAACTAAATGCAGCTCTGTTGGGCCCCGGGCAGAAATGGCTGCTATGCACCTCTTGGGTCCATTTGTTACTGCTAGTCTTGGGTCCTTATGCAGTATTATAGGGCAGCCTTTTTAGAGCCCCTTCCTTTAGCCAAGACAGAGGAGATAGATTCCATTGAGCTGTATTCTGCTCAGATAGAAGTCCATCCCTAGTAGGCTGTGAGTTCCATTTCACGTGGGGCTGCCTCTCCCCTGCTTGGTGCTTCCTGTCAATACAGCAGAATGGGGAGGTGCTGTTATATAAAGGGGAAAGTTTAGATGCAGGAGAGCCCAGCACCTCTTTTTAAGGCAGGGTGACAGGAATATTTCACTAGGGTCTATTTTCTCAGTTTAAGTCCTTTTTGTCTCTTTCAGGAAGTTAAGTTCCCAGTGTAGGGTTATCAATGTGAATCTGGTCCTGAGCTTTTTAGAAAATAAGAGTGGTTAACATTTTTTGTGAGAAGAGTTTCACCACTCTTGTTCTGATGGAACAATTCTGTCACTGGAGAAATCTCCCTCCAGAGCTTGGCAAAATTACTCTGATCTGGGCCTGTTTAAAAGGCCTAGTCTCTAATTTAGGAATTGGTGATCTGGAAGCTTTTGTGGAACATTGCAAGAAGGAGGGAAGTTCCCAGAGTCAGAAGGTAAAATTAAAATAATTTCCAAGGCTATTTGATCAGCCGTCTTCCATTTTGGTTCATCTTGTCCTGAGCTGGGGCACTGATGAGATTTTTTTTTTTTTTTTTGAGACAGTGTCTGTCTTTGTTACCCAGACTGGAGTGCAGTGGCATAATCTAAGCTCACTGCAACTTCAGCCTCCTGGGTTCAAGCAATTGTTGGGCCTCAGCCTCCCAAATAGCTGGGATTATAGGCGTGTGCCACCATGCCTGGCTAATTTTTGTATTTTTTGTAGAGGCAGAGTTTTACCATGTTGGCCAGGCTGGTCTCAAACTGCTGGACTCAAGTGATCCGCCACTTTGGCGCCTCCCAAAGTGCTGGAATACAGGTGTGAGCCACTGTGCCCACCCTAATGATGTATTTTATTAACAATATTAGTATTAAGAACCTGAAATGTTTGAAGAAGCACAATCCAGGATCATGCTGGTAGCACCATAGTACTTAGACTATTGGCCAATTAAGGCCAGAAAGGGAAGTTGTTAATTTAGCTTTGGTGCTTTGGTTTATAGGAACATAACCCTTAACTGACATCTGACATCATACCCACATGTGCTCAGCTCTGGGTAGAGTTTCTGCAGTTACTCATCTTAACTAATGAATAACTAACCACGAGTCACTTTATGCCCTGTAACTAGCTCTAGGCCATACTTTCACTGGTTACTGGTGTGAGAACTGAAATTCATTGTGTTACATTCTGGTGAAGACTGCTCTTGGTAATGGGAATGTTTGAACTCTTGATGAAAAAATAATCTGTATTTGTGTTGATGTTGTTCACATTTCTTTAGCACATTTCTTAGTCTTTTGGTTGAATGAAAAAGTCTTGTATAGGGGTGTAGGCACAGGGAGTGGGTAGAAGTGTGTGAAGGACCCTTTGCATTTGGGATCTGTTCACAAATAGCCGTATGAGTGGGTTAACGAAGGTCAGCCGGTCAGCAACCCTGCTGGTTGTTATGGGTTTTGAGAAGTTGGCAACCAGGCATCTAAGATGTTGCCTGGCACAGGCCTCTTTTCTTACCTGAGGCCCATGACATTTCTCTGTTATTCTAGAGGGTTTCCCAGATGGCTGTTAGGCTCCTCCCTGCTTAGGCTCTCATTTCTCTGACAAGAGGATGAATTGAAAAGCAGGTAGTTCCAGAAGCTAATTGCTGCTTTCCCTCATAATTATTTTTCTTATGAGAACATTTCTCTTTTAATTAGCTGGTGATTTTGATTAAGACTAATTCACTAAACATACCCTTTCCCTCAGATCACCTCAGGTAGCAATCTGTAAGTAATAGCATTGAGAAACACACAAGAAACATTTTTTTTTTTTTAACTATTTTTAAAAACCTGGCCAGGCAGTGGCTGACGTCTGTAATCCCAGCACTTTGGGAGGCCAAGGCGGGTGTATCACCTAAGGTCAGGAGTTCAAGACCAGCCTGGCCAACATGGTAAACCCTGTATCTACTAAAAATACAAAACTTAGCCAGTCGTAGTGGCAGATGCCTATAATCCCAGCTACTCAGTGGGGCTGAGGCACGAGAATTGCTTGAACTCGGAAGGTTGCAGTGAGATGAGATCGCACCACTGCACTCCAGCCTGGGTGACAAGAGCAAGACGGTCTCAAAAACAACAAAAAACAAAAAACACCAACTCATTGAATATATTAAACCAAACTAAAATCATATTCTTTTGATTTGATAAAGTTTATCCATTGTTGTATTCTTCTATGAATTCTTCCATTTAATTCTTCCATGGTTATATTTTCCTATAAATATATACATCACAGGTTAGAATTTTGTAACCATTAGCTATACCATCTCACAGAATTTATACAGGCACAAAGTTGGAGTTACAGAGATGGGTTGACAGCAGGGAAAACCTGGCCTATCTATTATAACCACAACTTCGGATTCTTACCACCTGAATATTCACCTTTCCTGTAGTCTTCCAAGGCAAACAACTCCATCTCATCACCAAATGAGCAACATCTTGTTATAGCAATAGCAGAACTCCCTAGACGCAGATCATGAGAAATATGGAAAAGACGTTGGGATTCAGGCATCAGGTGAAGTTGGCTTTTCCCTTTTATGCCTTGTTTGTATTTCCCCCTGGATAATACTCTAAGGATACTTACTCATTGTACTTGCAGCTCAACATGTCTTTGCTGTTCATATACTAAAATATACCTCTGAGTCATTGTGAGCTGTGTGGTAGGTTGGACATTAGCATTGTTGGTGATGGGACTCAAAAGGAAAAGCTGATCTCTTTACCAGGTCACAGACTATAGCAGATTGTGCTTGTTATCTGACAATGACTGTCACTTTGAGGGTCATTGATTTGCATGCACTTCTCTGGGGCCTTGTATTGGAGCCTTTTTTTAAAATAAAATAAAATTTGAGATAGAGGTTGGGGGTGTATGTGTCTATGTGCACGTGTGTTACAAGTGAGACTATCAGATGACATCCCTTCTCCTTTCTTGAATGACAACCATATGAGTATCAGAAGATAGTTCCAGCTCCTGTGTTGTTTGTCTGGTGAAGTCCTCTGGAAAAAATGAAGGTCACTGGGCTCTGAACAGGGGATATTTATGGGTTCCAGTTCTGGCCTTATCCCGTTATTCCTGCAGTGCTGGTTAAATGAACAGTTTTACACAAGCATAGTGCAGATCTCTTAATGATCCTATCGTCCCTGTTTCACACTGGAAGAAACTGAGGCTCAGAGATTGAGGAACCTTATGGCTGCCACCTGTGCCAGTCACCACCTCTGCGTGACCACATTTACATCCATTAGCACTACTAGCATACCTGTGAGGTAGTTACTCAGCTGTTCATCTGACCCCAGACATAGAAAAGTTAAGAGAGATTAGCCTGGGTTAGGCCACACAGCCAGTTCAGTGGTGGAATGATGGTTTCAATCCAGATCTGTCTGACTTACTTTGCCCTCAGTAGCAAGTAGCTGGCTCAGGTGGTGGTGGGTGCTGAAGCATTGTGTCAAGCTCAAAGGTGGCAGAAATGGTCAATGGGGAGTGGTCAATGGTAATGAGATTGGGTGCTGCTGAGTTGGTTTCTGATAGTGACTTTACCCATATCTTTGAAACTGAGACCTTCCTAGGGCCTATGTAGATTCCTAAACCAGGAGAATATTATATGTAGTGCTCACTTTATGCTAGACTGAGTGCCAAGTATTATGCATGACTTACCTCAATCTTCCCAATAACCCCAGTTTACGGATGTAAAAATGAGTGAGTAGTGAAGTTAAGCTTGCTTAGGGTTGCACTGCTGGGTTTCCAGCCTAGGTCTGTCTGACTGCAAAACCCAAGCTGCCCTAGATTGTGTTGTATGTGGACACCCATGTTTCTAACATGGAATAGGGTGTCTCATCCCTAGTAAGTGCCTCCTGTGGACTTTAAGATGAAAAACTTAGGCCTAACTCTTCAGGAAGCCTAGCATAGTTGTAAAAATACTTCAGAAGGCACTTCTGGTTTCAGCTCAGACATGTAGAGTGTGAAAGTTACCTATCTTTACCACAAGAAAAAGCTGGGCAAACAAAATCAGTGGCCTTTCTTGAGCCCTTTAGAGAGCTAAGTTTGCAGGGCAAAATGCCATCCCAAAATCTGGAGAGAGGTGAGTCCAGAGAGTCAGCAACATCTGATTGCCTGGAGCAGAAGCCACTGGAGCCATACTAGTAGTAAAACGTAAATGGTAATTTTGATGAACTGCTGGAGGTTGAGTGTGAACAAGCATGGGAATGAGCAACTCCCCCTCACCCCCAACACTTTCCTGGGTTTTACCCTACTTGGTTCTCTTGGTGAAGAGCTGAGAAAGACCCTCTGGTGGCTCTAGCAGGGGATGGGAAGAATCATCTTTGTAATCAGAGCCTTCTCCATAACAAAGCTTATCCCCTAGAGGAAAGCACTTTTTCACAGAGCCTTATCCCACCTGGAGGAGGGCATTTCTCCCATTCCAGCCCCCTTTGGCCTTCCTGGGTCATTTAAGGGGTTACCAAGGGGAATTGAGAAATATTTATGGGCCAGTGCAGTGGCTCATGCCTGTAATTCTAGCACTTTGGGGGGTCAAGTTGGCCAGATTGCTTGAGCCCAGGAGTTTGAGACCAGTCTGGGCAATATGGTGAAACCTCATCTTTACAAAAAATACAAAAATAAACCAGGCATTGTGGCACATGCCTAGGAGGTAGAGGCTGCAGTGAGCCGTGATTGTGCCACTGTACTGTACTCCAGCCTGGGTGACAGAGCAAGACACTGCCTCAAAAAAACAAAAAAAAGGAAAGAAAAAATACTTGTGAAGGTCACATCCCAAGGACACAGACCCATTAAAATGCTGAGATTTAATAAGATTATAGAATGCTTCACTTCCCCATGTTTTTCCACCACACCACCACGACTCTAGGATAGTAACAGTGACTTACAGCTGGAAGAGATGCAAGACACAGACTATCTAAGGAGGAATATCTAGGGAAGCCCAAAGGCAAGAGGAGATAAACACAAAGACACTAGAGGAACTGGAAGACTCTGACACCTACAGCTAGAGCAAACATTAAATACAGCTCAACTTTTAGCCAGATAACATAAGTTCTCATACTAGAGGCTTATTTACCCCAGTTCCTATGGCCCAATACAGTGGATATTCCACCTTCAGCGAAAAAATCATAAGCATGCTAAAAGGCAAGAAAAAAAACCTCAACAATCAGATGAAACACACCAAACATCAGAACCACACTCAGATGTTAGAATTATCAGACAAGAATTTAAAATGTGATATGTTAGGGGGATCTAATGGTAAAAGTAAACAACAGACCAGAACAGATGGGTAATGTAAACAGAGACTAAGAATCATTCCAGGTGCATTGGCTCACACCTGTAATTCCAGCACTTTGGGAGGCTGAGGCAGGCAAATCACTTGAGGTCAGGAGTTTGAGACCAGCCAGGCCAACATGGTGAAACCCTGCATCTACTAAAAATACAAAAATTAGCCAGGCATGGTGGTGTGTACCTGTAGTCCCAGCTACTTAAGAGGCTGAGGTGGGAGAATCGCTTGAGCCTGGGGAGGTGGAGGTTGGAGTGAACAGAGATCGAGCCATGCACTCCAGCCTGGGTGACAGCGTGAGACTTTGTCTCAAAACAAATAGAAAACCCTAAGAATCAAAAGGAAGTGCTAGAAGTTAAAACCTTTAATGAAGAATGCCTTAATGGGCTCATCAGTAGACTGTCTATAGCCAAAGAATCAATGAGTTTGAAGACAGGTCAACAAATTTACCCACTAAAATGCAAAGAGAACCCCCTGCCACCCCCCAGCCAGAACATTCAAGAACTATGAGGCAATTTCAGAAGATGTAAAATGCATTTAACTGGAATACTAGAAAGAGAAAAGAGTGAAGAAATATCTGAAGTAATAAATGGCCAAGAACTTCTTTTTTTTTTAAGAGGAGGTTTCACCATGTTGGTCAGGCTGGTCTTGAACTCCCAACCTCAGGTGATCTGCCTGCCTTGGCCTCTAAAGTGCTTGGATTACAGGCGTGAGCCACCATGCCCGGCCAAGAACTTTTCAAAATTAATGACAGACATGAAATCACAGATCCAGGAAGCTCAGAGAACTCCAAGTGGGATAAATACAAAACATCTTCAGCTCTGCATGATCTTATTCTAAACCTGTAAACCAAACACCAAGAAAAAATTGTGAAATAAGCTAGAGGAAAAAGCCGTCATACCTATAAACATAATTGTAGCTAATTATTTGTTAGAAGCCATGCAAGCAAAAAAAGAGAATAGTGAAGTATTTAAAGTTATAAAACCCTAAGAATCAAAAGGAAGTGCTATAAGCTAAAACCTTAAATGAAGAATGCCTAAATGGGCTCATTAACCTAGAATTCTAAATTAACACCTAGAATTCTAAATATGGCAAAATTACTCTTCAAAAGAGAAGGAGAAATAACTTTCAGATCAAGAGTACTTGATAAAGAGAAAGGCATCTCTTGATTTTTTTTATTTTTATTATTATTTTTTGAGACAGAGTCTCACTCTGTCACCCAGGCTGGAGTGCAGTGGTGCGATCTCAGCTCACTGCAGCCTCCACTTCTCGGGTTCAACAATCCACCTCACCTCCTGAGTAGGGGAGACCACAGGCGCTGCCACCATGTCTGGCTAATTTTTGTATTTTCAGTAGAGATGGAGTTTTTGCCATGTTGGGCAGACTGGACCCAAATTCCTGATCTTAAGCCATCCTCCTGCCTCGGCCTCCCCAAGGGCCGTGTTTATAGGCTGGAGCCACCGCGCCTGACCACAGAAAATGCATCTCATCCATAGTTTGTTTATGAGACAATTGAGGTCCAGAGCTGTTGAGTGGCTGAACTTAGGAAGGAATTGATCCCAAACCATCTTTTTTCTTTTGCTAAGAAGTTTAAGTCAATGTCAGAAAGTGCAGTTTGAACTCTTCATGTTAAAACGAGATGTTCAGAGTGAAAAACGGACTTTAGGTTTAATTGCACGTTATCAGCTGACTTGGTATCCAAACTCAGTTCTCTTATTTCCTATTGCAATGTCTGATTTTTAGCCTATGTAAAAATATTTTCCCGTGGGTGGGTGGGGAAATGACCAATTTACAGGACGCGAAAATCTAAACGTTCCAAGGGGAAGGCGTCCTAAAGCGAAGATGCACACGCCCGCTCTCGCCGCGCCTGGTTCAAGGCCATCCGACGGGACTACAAGTCCCAGGCTGCTCCGCGGCGCGCGCTGCCCTCCGGGAAGTGTCTTCTGTGCGTCTGCGCGGGAAGTGGAACCCGGCGGCTTGAGGTCCGCGCCAGGTGCTAGGTAGTAATTTCTCATAGCTACTAGATTCGCGGCTCGTGAGGCAGCCTCTCCACTGTTGTCGCTATGCCCATGAAGGGCCGCTTCCCCATCCGTCGTACCCTCCAATACCTGAACCAGGGGAACGTGGTGTTCAAGGACTCCGTGAAGGTCATGACAGTGAATTACAACACGCGCGGGGAGCTGGGCGAGGGCGCCAGGTCAGTAGCAGCCCCGGCGGCCTGGCGAGCCGTAACCTGTTAGTCGTGCTAGCCTTCTGGTAACGTGAGGGAGCCAACGCTGGGCGTCCGTTCACCCCCGGGGCTGCCCCCCCCTTGTGGCGCCCCATTTTACAGCTGTCCAGCTCCGGCTACAGTCGTGACGAGGTTCGGGGGACAGGACAAGAACTCCACTCCTAGATCTCCTTCCTCTGGCTCGGTGGGCGAGGCTGACCCGAGGGAGGCCATTAGTTCCCTTGGCCCCTGTGGCCAGCAAGGCAAGCGCTGGGGAGGGGCAGCCGCAGTTCCTCTTAGGGTGACGGGGTTGACACCCTTGCCCCAGGACGGATCTGAGAGAAAAACAGCGGCGAACACTGATCCTGTCCC